TTTCCAATCAATGTTTTCAATGTTAAAACTAACCAGCATCCTAGTGTTTTGCAGGCTTGAGATACAAGGATTCAGACAGCACTGGTACAGCGCTAAGCAAGCCCTCTCCTGAGAACTCAGTAACCAAGGTGCAACACTACCACATTGTTACAAGTACACTACCTCAAGGTCTGAGCAAATAAGCTCTCTCAATACCAATCTGCTGAGTTAACCAGCTTGAGTATCTACAAGGTCAGGTGTCTTGTACCACCTTGCTTAGTAATACACATTTATGTCTTTGTCTTTACCATTTTCCCCTCTTAAGGATTAAAAATACCCCCAAAAACCAAGCCCCAAATACACACACTCTGAGCTGGAACATGTAAAGGTAAGTTAAAAGATTTCCCAGTTGGATTATTAGACTGATGCTGCAGAACAAGGATTAATGAGGTCCACTGTGGATTGCCAATCTATTTTAGAATAATTTTTAACTGGCTGCCAAACACAAGCTTAACAGGGAGTTTTGCTGATTTCCAGTTTATAACATTGAGCCACACACAGCAAAAGTACATACCTGTTCATATGGGCAGGACCATAACCACCAATAGCATATATCATTCCGTCCAAGACAGCTGCAGCAAAACAACTTCTTGTTTTGTTCATCGGGGCCACTAACTGCCATTCCTTCACTTTAGGGATGTATTTCTCTACAGTTCGTAAATAAGACTGCCCATCATAGCCACCTAAGGCATAGAGCTCTCCTGCCAGAACCACCACTCCCAGAGTACTTCGGCTCTCAAACATCCTTTCAAGAGACGTCCAAGTGTTCGTATCAGAGTCCCAGCACTCCACTGAATTCTCATGCTTTCGATAACTGATGCCTTGACACACATGAGTTGCAATCCCTCCTACAACGTATATTTTCTGGTCTAGGACACATATTCCAAATTCATAGCGGGGAATGCTAAGAGGTGCCAGGCCTATCCACGAGTCATTCTGGGGAAAATACATTTCAACACTGAAATAGAAAAACAAAGATTACATGAGTATACCTAACCTCAGGAAGCTCTATGAAGTGCAAACGAGCATCAAAGAGCACACAGTCTTAAGATTACTCCACAGAATGTATTTTGTAGAATAGTTTGTGTTGGAAGGGACCTTTAAGACCATCCAGTTCCAACTGCCCGATGCGACAAGCAGGGACACCTTCCACTAGACCAGGTTGCTCCATGCCCCATTCAACCTGGCCTTCTTTAGGCAACCTGCGCCAGTGCCTCACCAGCCTCACACCCCCACTTCTTTCAGTATCTAATCTAAATCTCCCCTCTGCCAGTCCAAAGCCATTTCCTCTTGTCCTATCCCAACACGTCCTTAAAAAAGCTCTTCTCCAGCTTTTTTGTTGGCCCATTTAGGCAGTTGGAGCTGCTCTAAGATCTCCCTCAAACCTTCTCTTCTCCAGGCTGGAGACAAACCCAGCTCTCCCAGCCTGTTAGACATGGATACCTACTCAGCAGCAGAGCCTGAAGTCATGATTACTTTATGATCAAGAACATGTCATTTCTAAGAACTACCTCTTCACTCTTCTCTGATTAAGTCTATCTTAATCCCAAGGACTTTCAAGCTTTCAAGGAAGCATATTTGTCATATATTAAATTTTAAGATTTTATTGTCTTTAAAAATAATAGATCAGGCAAAAAATACGTAAAATGAAAAGACCTGAAACAACAAAGTAGTAACATACAAACTTTTTATTAACCACTTTTATTAACCAAATTCTCGAATCAACAGAATTAAAATTATAAGATTTTACAGCTATTTCTGTTGGCACAAACAAAACCCTGCAATTTTGAAGATTACTCATTAAATCAAAATCTATTTTGAATTTAATGCGATGACTTTACTATTACTTACCTTTCCAAACAGGCAAACAGTCCAGCTTTTCCTCCTACAGCACAAAGAACTTTAGGAGCACAGCGAGGTCGTGTCATCAGCATGGTCTGGTGGGAAAGTCTGTGTTCAGGCATAAAGTGATATTTTAGGGCTTCATTCAGCAGGTGTTTACAAGTATGGTCATCGCGAATGAGATGGTTTGCTTCGTATAACCTCGTAAGAAACTTCACACTCAGCAGCGGCAACCGAACGCAATGTAGCAGCTGTGCCAAGTATTTCTGCCGCTCCTGCACGTCATATTTGATCCAGGACTCTAGTGCATAAAAAACAGTTTCTTCTGTCACAACATTCAAGCAGTCATTGGAAACTATTTCATCCAATTCAGAATGCGTAAGCTCAAAAAATTCTTCTGTCTGACAAACATCTTCAAAATTTTGACAAATGTACTTGTTAGCAGCCAAGTAGAGGTCATGGCATCCATAGGTCTCTGCAAAACGAGAAATCCCAATGCAATTACCAGGGTCAAGCTGGCTTTCAAGAAACGCACAGCACTCCTTCACTACCAGTTTGATCTGGAGAAGATTCGCAGCTGGGAGAAGTGACTCTACAGTGTCTTGCGAGATAAACACGGTTCCTGTGTAGGCATACTCCACGATGGCCTGCAGCGCTGCCTCATCGATGCACTGGAACTCCACCTCTGAGTTCTCCTTTTCAGAAAGGTTCCCAGTAAACATGGCTTTGAAGTACGGACTGATGCTGGCAAGCACCACTTTATGGGCATGGATCTTGACATCGCCAACTCTAAGGATAATGTCACAGAGCTCATGATGCTGGCGAAGGAGGTTCAGGCCTTGTAGAAGCTGTTCTGAATGCAAGTGGGTTAAGTTGGCAAGCATGTAGGTTGGAGAAGACTGGTCCATCTGTGACAAACAGAATTTTTAAGGCATTACTCAGGGCTTCATTTCAACAATTTCATTAGTCATGTTACTTAGACATGCCACACATAACATTCACAAAATATTTTCCAGTTTTGCTTTTATCTTAATTGCTTTTATTACTTCCCAATTTACTTATCCAATCCTTATGTGCTATGCTTTTTCATGCAAGTTAAATCCAGGACAATCAAATGTTTATTAATAGTGCATGTTATATTCATCTGTGACTTAAAACCCAACAAAAGAAGCACCACATTTTTCTGTCCTGGAATAAAATGTATATCATATGAAGCTTTGAATACATAACAGGATTGTGTATCAGATATTTGAGAGAACTGAACAGTGACTGAAACAAAAATAGAGATGCATAAAGAATAGAACTGGCTTACTTAAGACAAAGTTTTCAAAGTTCTTTAACTACTTTGTGCTACTTGCCTTGCAGGCTACTCAGTCCTTCTGTGGTGCAGCTAAGCCCTGCTGTGCTTCCCCCCCCGACTCGTGCTCTGGCCAGACCCTACCAGTCAGCAGGGCCACATTCCCTATCCAAGAGAGGAGAATCCCTCACTCTGCACAAAGAGGCAAAAAAGACTCACAGAGCCACTGGAGCCCTGTGCTGCAGGGAAAGAGGTGCTGGAACAGAGGTTACTGCACTCTGAACAGTAAGACGAAGCCAGGAGAAGGAGATCATTGCCTCACCTCATTGAGGGGCTTCCACTGTGACAGGAAATCCCTAGTGGACATGCCCTCACCCTCTGGAGAGGTCAGACCTGGGGAAGACTGTGAGGGTGGTGAGACACTGGCACAGATTGTCCAGAGAAGCTGTGGCTGCCCCATCTCTGGCAGTGCTCAGGGCCAGGCTGGACAGGGCTTGAAGCAACCTGGTTTAGTGGAAAGCGTCCTTGCCTGTGGCATAAGGGGTGGCATAACTACATAACCATGAGGTCTCCACACAGCCTTCTCTTATCCAGGCTGAACAGCCCCAATTTTCTCAGCCTATCTTCATATGGGAGGTGCTCCAGTCCCCTGATCATCCTCGTGGCCCAATGATCATGATAAAGACCAGGAGCCAGGCCTACGTCCACCATCAAGAGACAAGAGGTGGGAGCTGGTGAGGAGGTGCTTCCCAGGGAAAGCAACCACGTGGGTCCTAGTTAGACACGCTGATAGAAATTATATCGCTATTTCCATGTCCGCACAGCACCAGCAGCTACCCATGCTTCCCAACATCACCAGTAAGGGCAGAGAAAAGGATCCTCATTCCCACCTACAGCTCCACAAAACCCACAAACTCTTCTTTCAAAGAGTTTTTGCATCATGACAGTTCAAGGCATTTAGAGCAGGCATTAAGGATACCTGCTCTAATTTCAGTATCATTAAAATTCAAACAGTGCTGCCCACCACTACCTGTTGGCACAGCAGGTCTTTATTCTGACTGAATTATTATAGCAGTGAGAGGGTGGAGGGTATTGGATATGTCAGGATCCTGGACCACGAGGAAATATAACTATTGTTCTACAGAGAACACTGCAACAATTCAATTTCTGAACTGAAAACCTGATTTAATTTTGATTTGCTAAATGACTACACTTCAAGATCTCACTACTTTTATCTTAATGAGTTCATCATTTTTATAGCTCCTTAACTGACATCTAATTTGCAGTGAGCCTACTTACAAAGTGCTTAATCTGAAAGAATAAAATTTTTTTGCCAACATTTAAATATAGAACATAACAGCACTGACAAAGAAGTAAGGGCTTACAGCTAGAGACAGAAAACCTCTTACCCATTAAAGATAAGTAAGCTCCCCCCTCTCCTATTACAACTCTATACTGGAAAAAAAAAAAACAAATGTATCTAAAAGAAAGTATTTAAAGTGTATCTGCATTAAGGCAAGATTCCATACAATAACATTTTCCATATAACAATATATATGCAGCATAAATTATATGAGAGGGCCCAGAGGGGGGAAACAGGAGCTGTTCAGAAGCTAAACCACTTTGTTTTCCTTTTGTGTTCATGCTCAGTTCGTAACTTGATTGCACATATACACAGAAATCACAAAAACACAAGGTAACACCACATGGAAGGATAAAGGAATAGTTACATTTCAGATGTCAAAGCCAGTAAGAACAGTTATAAGTAATGACAGTTAAGTTATTCCACAGAAATAAAACTTTTTGTACAAACCTGACAGAGATGCCTACTGATGTGCATCTCCTGAATGGCAATGCTCACCCACACCTCATATTTGCATGCATTTATTCTACTGCTGAACAAGAAATCAGAAGCTGGAACATTACCAGCCCCAGAGAACATATGCTAGTCCAACAATGTCTGCTCACCACGCAAATCAAGTGGTTGTCCATTAGCACTGGGCTATCAGATCTTGTTCACAGTCTGCCGGTAAAACTTGTCTGAATAGCAGGGAAAGAGTTATTGGACATTAAAAGGTTAACCAGAAATGTAAACACCCAAGCTTGCTTACTGAAGCACTTTTATTCCTCTAAAAACCACAGTATGTGATGATGCCTGGTAAGACACAGAACACAGCATTTTCTTTATGTGAAAACAGCAGGAAGAGCTCCAGGCACTTTTCTGTTCCAAGGTAGTGTTTAAGTGCTCGCCAGTTCCTTATTTAGACTACAGAATGACTGGGGCCAGCAAGCGACTTGCCTGGGTTACAGCAGAGCTTAAAACCTGAGCAGCACCCACCCAAAGTACAGAGCTAATTTGGGTTGTAAACACCACACAAGACCACTTACTGCATGCAAAAAATATATATATATAACGTGCAAGGAGAAACTGTTTTGCTTATGAAATTTCGTGCTCCCCACGCCATTGCGTTTCACCTTCGTGCCCAAGCTCCTGCCCCAGCCCGTTTCACGCGGTAGAGGGATGCAGAGCAGCGGCCTGACGAGCACACGGCTTCCAACAGCCAGGAGCACGTCTCCCCCGCCCCTCTAAGAAGCCAGCGGGACGTGGCCACCCGGCGTCTGTGCACCAGCCACCCTGCCGACAGCTCTGAGACGGAGCCGTCACCCTCCTGTCGCCGTTCTGCTTGTATAAGTGTCGCCCCAGGTCAAGCGGCGGCCGCTCTCCCCTCCCTATACCTGCAGACAGTCCCTCCCGCTTGCACTCCACAGATCAACTCGGTAAACAGCACTCCCCACCGCACTGCGAACAGGTTGCGGGCACGCTACCAACGCCGCGGCGGCCCCGGCCAAGCCGAACCAAGCCGGAGCCGCCTCTCCACAGGGCCCGGTAGGAAGCGGGGCCCGGCTCACCTGCGGGTGGGAGGGGGCGCAGGCCGCAGCGAGGCCCGACCCGCGATCGCCGCCACCACCACGGCCACCGCAACCGCCTCGCTCGCCTCCGCTCGTACGGTAGTACCGGCAGCGGCAAACGTCACTTCCGGACTCCACCGCCCCGCGCCCTCTGCCAGTCAGCGGCGGGGAAGTTCTGCGCACCCACAACCCCAGAGGCACGGGCGGTGTCACTCCTCACGTCGCGGAGGGGGGGAGTGGTGGCTCTGCTTCACTAGCGCCAGGCGGCGCAGCCTGTCACCGGCCGCTACGCTTTACAGCTATCGACTTCAGCAGCGGAGCACACAGCTTCCCCAGCGCCGGCGGCGGGATGGGCGTGTGGCTGTGGCGAGGGGTGTGCCAGCCCTCCGCCTTTCCCCCGCCGGGCGCGCCGTGGTCGGTGCCCAGTGGGCGTGGTGCGGGCCGGCTCTTAGTGACGGCAGCGTTGTAGCGTGCGGCGTTGCTGGGATGGCTTAGTTCTACGCCGTGCGTAGTGGCTGTGGCCGTCCTCCCGTGCTATGGAGGATCCCCCAGACCCTGGGATCCCGCCAAGACTCGGCCCCAAGCGCGCTGGGAGGGCGGGTGAGGGGGATGATGATGCTGCCGCTCCCCTGCCGTTTTGGTTGGAGCTGCCGCCGGTGCCGTGTGGAAAAGCCCTGCGTAAGCGGCGCCGCAGGAGCGCCGGCTTCCCCTGCCCGCCCGTCGCCTGCCGCGGTGTCGGTGAGCTCTACCCCAGCCTGGCCCCTCAACTGGGTAGCCCCGTGACCCCCGGGAGGCGGGATGAAGAGCCTGGAGCCGAGCCTTTGCCACCCACCGGCAGTCAGCAGCCGGTTGGTAAGGACACGGAGCTGCTGCCTTCCGATCAGCCCGGCGGCACCGGCCTCAAGTTCGGGCTGCTGGCGCCGGAGCTGCACACTCGCCTGCTGGACCAGGAGGACTACAGGACCCGTGTGCAAGCTGTGGAGGAGCTGAAGAGGGTGGTTGAAGATGCCAGCGAGGCCGCGGTGACCTCCGTGCCTGCCCCCAGCATCCTGGGGTTCATCAGCCTTCTCTGCACTCTGCTCGGTGACTTCAACTTCAAGGTGGTGCTCGGAGCATTGGAGGTGATCTGTCTGCTGGCTCTGCGCCTGGTCAGTCAGGTCAAGTCCTTCCTGACACCTCTGTTCTCTGCTGCTACTCAAGTCCTGGGGGACAGCAAGCTGGCCATCCGGCAGGGTTACAGACGCCTGCTCTGCTTGCTCATGAAGGAAGTGGGTCCTCAGCAGGTGCTGGACTTACTGCTGCAGCCAGAGTACCAGCAGAACAAGAATTCTAGAGTCCGCGAGGAGGTGGTCAGTATGTGCATTGTGGCCCTCCTCACTTACCCCAGTGAGGAGCTGGACCTGGACAAGCTGGCGTTTAAGCTTGCTCCAGCACTGGTGGACAACAAGCACAGGGTCCGGCATGCTGCCATGGAAGCTTTTGCTGTGCTGGCGTCTGCCATGGGCCCAGGCAAAACCAGCCTTCTCTTCAAGGCAGTGGATGCTGTGGAACTGAAGGACAATGGGGCTGGGTTGATGCATGCAGTGCAAGCTAGGCTGGCCAGGAAGATTTTGCCAAAGCTTGCTGACCAAGGGTTTGTAGAGTATGCTGTGCCCTTGCCATCATCTTGTCATAACAGGGCATCCTGTTTACCCCCAGGAGCAGATACAGACTGGCTCTTGATGTGTGACAGGACTCAGAGTGCACCCAGCTACTGCGGGTATGAGGCGAGGGTTAATACTCTGCAGCACTCCAGTTCTCACAGTGCGGGAGTCAATGAAGTAGCATGTTCAAGAAAAATCTTGAATGCATATAAAGGAAAAAACAAACTGCCTTGGGAAAACAAGCATGCTGAATACAAGGAAGTTGGTTCAGGAGTCAAGATGCCTGTCACAAAGGGTGTGGAGCAGGTATGTACCTATACCTCACTGGACTCATGTGTCCTAAGGCGTGTTTCAAAGGGAGTTGTGAAAATTGTCAAAGGTTTATTAACTGACAGGTATGGCTGTAATATTTTATGTTCTAAGATCTTTATACATATATCCATCTGGGAAGGTTTGAGAACTCCTTATGTTGTATTTAAAACTAGTACAAATCAGATAACTTATCACTTAGGAAAAAAAAAATCTTTTTCTGAAGTTAGCTAAACTTCATGAGGCACTCCTTGCATCTAACTATACTGACTTGTTGCTGACAATGGCTAGCTAAAACCCAGGGAATGAGTATAGAAGTGGGGAAGCTATTTTAGAGCTTCTGTCTGTATATTTGCATTTGAAGATTCCTGACTGCAAAACCTTTCCTAAATACAAAAGCTGTTTCGAGGAAAACTGACAGTTCAACTTGGGCTTTGAAGGCGGAGCTCTGGAGTGTGGTGGGGCCAGCACTTCCTGGCAGCATCCAGACCCGAAACAAAACCAGAGAATTGCCAAATATCTGTTGTTTCTCAGTCTGATTTAACTAGGAAGAATGTAGGTCAGGCTGAAATAGCAGTTCTGACTGACCTGAGCTTTGATTTTTATCACTGATCATATCAGCAGCTGCAAAGGGAAGGAACCTTTTTACTCTGGCTTTCTGTTCTGTGGCATCTGTTTTGGATACCATCCGTGCGTTATAAGGTCTGGGAGTGCATCTGCATGTAGTGGGTTTTCTGTTGTGTGGTTTGTTGGTTTTTGTTTGGGTTTTTTGTTTGTTTGTTTAATTGGACAGGTTTCATTTATCATAACTTGATCTCCAGTGAGTGAGTTTAAGCGAGTAGATCTTTTTATAAGATGGAAAGCTGTGTAGAGTAGAATTCCTCATGACCACGTTTACATATTTGGAACTTAATTCTTAGTTGCTTAGTAACTTGTTTCTGCATTGGTTGAGGTCTCAAACAGTGCTACTTTGTGAAGGCTAGCTGTTAATAAAGTTTCTTAATAAAAAGAAATGTGAGTTAACACTATTGTAGTGTAAAAACCTTGAAATTCATGTATGAACAGATGCTCTTTTCCTCCTTCAGTGTATATATTGCCTTTATTCAAACTCCTGAAGTCATCTGTGTCTCCTTCAGTTGATGAATTGGGCAATTAAGTTCTCTTGGGCTATCTACAATGCAAATGGGGTCTGAAAAACAAGTTACATAGAAAACATCTCTAGAGTGAGAAGTTTTTTCTTTTTGAAACAGCTTTTCAGTATTAACTAATGCAACTTGTAGAAATAATAGTTATTAATATGTATTTATCCATGTAAATTGTGGGGAGTGCTGGAAGTTTCCAACCGTGAAAAGAGGGAGAGAAAGCAATTAATTTATGGGTTCTGTTTTGCTGTGTATGTAAAATGCATTTAGAAATGATATGAACTTAAATTTGACCTGGGGATGCAACTACATACTCATGGCTTCAAGTCAGTGATGATGAGGTACCGCGTTTACTAGGGAACATCCTTGGTACTAATATGAGAAAAGATTTTTGGATTATATCATAGAATCACAGAATGGTTTGGGTTGGAAAGGACCTTAAAGCACATCCAGTTCCACCCCCCTTGCCATGGACAGGGACACCTTCCACGAGACAAGGTTGTTCCAAGCCCTGTCCAACTGGCCTTGAACAGTGCCAGGGATGGGCAGCCACAGCTTCTCTGGCTTTGAGACTTTGAGTCCTAGGGGCTAGTTCCACATTTACTGTAAAGGAAATTTAAACAGCGTTGTGGTTTAAATACTGAAATATTTGTCCGATTGCTGCAGGTTGACAGCTTTGTTGCCCTGTCTTCACATCCTGATTATTTGTCTTACCTTACTGTTAAATCTGTCTGAACAGATTATAAAGCTCTCCAGGGCAGGGGACATATTTTTATTTGGCTTTGTGATTTTTGGTACAGCGTTTGCTAGCTTCTTGATGGTGCTTGTTTTGTTACATCTGTGCCATGAAACTGCTTTTATCGTGTGGCGTGTCTGTATCTGCAATGCCAGTAAATGAACTGTGTTTTCACCTAAGGCACATTGGGACAAGCAGACTTGTACAGTGTTTCCTGTACTTGGAAGATACTCCTTAACTGAAAGTTGCTGTAAGCTCTAGAAATAAAGCTCTTTTCCTTGGGGCATTTAGCAGTTAAAATGGGGGGGGAGAAAGTAAGTTAGCCCTGTATCTCTTCAGAACTATTTTCAGGAAGGTGTATCGTGCATAAAATTCGGGTGTTCAACTTGTTCATGAAAATAAAAAAAAAATAATTAATTCAGACATTCCTTTGAAATGAATTTGCATAAAAATTCTGTGTCTGAAAGGATGCATGAAATTAGCTTAATGTTTAAAGTTTTTTTTCTACTAGTATTTTTAGGGTCACAATCCACAGTGATTGCCCAAGGCCATGTCTAGACTTCCCTGATCAGATAAGGTATGAAGTAGAACATGTGTAAGTTAATGTGTACTAAAAATATACTGTAGTTAAAGCACATTGCCTTCAAAGATTTGCCTAAATGCAGCTTCTGTCAGAGAAGTTAAATGAAATATTTCTCTGTAATCCCCGAAGTCCTTTGAAAGTGATTTTGTTTTGTGCCCATCTGCAAACTGGCAGTTCCCAGCTATGATGCAGGATTCAGAAGGGCAATTTGATACTGACAAACACAACCAAGAGTTGTGAGTCCATCCTGCATGGTAAGTTTCTGCACAGCACGAAGTCCATCTGTGACTGTGGTGACACATGTGGCTGCCACCTTGAGCAGTGGTGGTATCACCAGCTATTGGTGGTGAGCTGGACACCAGAGGTGCCAGCATGGAGTTCCTCTTTGTTGCATGAGACTGTAGTTGTGTTCAGCCTTATAAACACCCTGATGAGAAACCCTGGAGTAGGAGCTGCTTGCTCTGCCACTGCCTCAACTTCCAGGGGCTGCCCTTGTGTGCTCAGAAAGAAGTCTTCTCCCTGCTTGTAATGGGAGAAGAAAACATGATTGACAAGTAAACACTGTAGGGCCTTTCTCAGGAAGCTAGTGCCTCCAGCTGTCTCTTTCAGAGCCAGAGGGCTATCAAAGGTCTGGAGAGGGCTGTTTGGTCACCTGAGGAGCTTCCTTGCCCCACTGCTATGGCTAACTTGGAATAAGTCATGCAGGTGTGGAGGTTTGCTGGAAAGGGAGCCAGCACCAGTGGCATAGCTCATCGGTGCTCTGCCTTGAGGTGCACTTACCAAAATGTGGCACTTGTGGGGTATATAGCATTTATACCAGTCTTTATTAGATCTGCGAGTCTTATTTCTGACTAGTATCATGTTCCCTGTGAAATACATAGTGTGGGTCCCTGTGGGTACCCACCGTTGAAAATAGCGCATCTTCCCCCAGCACTTTGGAGGGAAGCAAAAGCTTGTGAACATTCTACTGATATTTTAAGTTATGTTATGAAGTATCCACTTATGCAATTTCCCAAAACTGCCTTGCTTGGCAATATGTGTGGAATTCTTCTCCATTTACATACTGATCTGATAACCAGAGAACTGGACTTTATGAAGACCTTAGTGAGTGTTCAAATGATCTGTGAGATTAGTTTTGGGAAACAAATGCTCTCTCTTTTCCGTGATGGTAACAAGAATTAAAGGGGCATGGAGGTTGGCCTGTTTGTCTGGTAAAGCTTCCTTTCATTGCAAGCTGAAGTGGCATTTGAGCTGTGTTTTTTTCTGAAGGCTAGGAGAATATTTTGGAGGTACATGATTCTGTATTGGTTCTATTGTTGCTCTCTTCTTGGTAGTGTGTTTTAATTAGGAGCACCTTCTGTTTCACCAAGTGCCTCTGCTCGGCTGTGAAGGGAATGTAAGAACAGAGTGTTTGTCAGTGATGGGTCCCTTACAAGGGCTGTGCTTTGGTAACCAAGTTAATAGTTCTTTTAGTGGATAGATTCAAATATTTTCTGACATTGGTGGTATTATTGGGATTTAAATGAACCTGAAACCTTTAAAGAAATCCCTTTGCCAGGTTCTGTCATCTACCTCAGTGAAAAATCTGGCAGTTTGGGTTTGCTTTTATATGCCACCAGCCTGCATCCCTGTGTTTAGTGAATTTATAACTGCTGTAACTAGAATTTGCATACAAGAAAGCAGACAGTTTTTATTCCTGTAGCTAGAATTGGAACAACTGAGCAAAGCTGTGCAATCATGACAGCATTGTATAATTTGCTTTTTCTGCAGATCTGGTTTTGTCTGTATGGAGAAATGGGGTGTAAGGAATTTGTACAAGTAACACTTATTAGTGGAGTGAAAGATCTGTAGATTGAAAATGGCATTTTCTAGCCGGCTGATGGCAGAAGCAGAATGCTGAGTTCTCATCTCCTCTTTTATCCTGACTTGTATTAACCTGGAACCTGCTGTTCTTTTTTTCTCATTTGTAAAGTAAAACTGGTGTCACTCAGGTTATAGAAAGCGGGCAGTGCCGAGTGTTAACTGGTACAGCTGCTGTGATTGAAGCCATTTTTCTTGCTGTATAGCCATCAGAACTTGTTTCTTACTCTTTTCAAAACTTCATATTCCCTGTTCCGGTCTTACTAAATCATTTCATACCTGCTGGACTCCTTCTGCCATCTTCCACTAAAAATAGGATTCAGACTGATCCATTTTGTATCAAGGTTCCTTAAATTCTCCTTTGCTGCCTTGTACTTTAAGCAGTTGTCTGCAAATACTCTTAAGTGAGAGTCTAATCCCTGATGCCTGATGAAAAAGTCTGGTCCTGCATTAGCGCCAGCTTTCAGGGAGGAAGATTTTATGTGAAGTTTTAAGCTTTTGAGCATTTTGGTGGATTTGCTTCAAATGCTTCAGATTCGAGACTGACTTGTTACGGGGATGACTTTAATCCTATCTGCTGAACTTGGAGCCTGCGAAATGCAGTGTGTAGCAGTAAATTGGGACATGCATTTTTGTAAGCAAAGACAACATTTTTGCCATTTTTGTTAACCACAGAGCCCCTCCCAGGAACAGGGAAGCTGTTTCATTCAAGAGCCTGTGTGTGTGGAGTTTGCTCTGAGTGGTTCCTCCTTGTGTTGTCAAACACAACTTGCGTTGTGTGGGCAGGGCTGAGAATTGAGAGATAATTGCAGACTAATGCAGAACTGCACTTTCATATTGCAAGAGTTTTTGTGAAGTTCTCAGATTGAGAATCCATCTTTACCATGAACTGACATCTTCAGTGAAATTAAGAAAAATACATATTTTTATAAATGAATGTACTATGTATGTGCTAGACTACAAATTCTCCACTCACACAACCAGTATATTGAGGAAAGGAGTTTTTTAGACTTCAGGTGATGCTGTTCTTTCCAGTGCTGCATAAATATTTCCATTTCTGTTCAGTCTTCTCTTTTGGCCTCTGTGTGGAGCCTTGTCTGTAAAAGAGGAGACCAGAGTTAACATAGCCTGGAAATGATTTAAATTACTGATTTTTACTAATTAAATCAGAAAGTAATAAACCTTTATTTAAAACATGAACTTTTCTTTCCTAAGTTTTTATGTTATTCAGACTTAACCTATCACACACACAGTATCACAGTATCACAGTATGCTAGAGATTGGAAGGGACCTCGAAAGATCATCTAGTCCAATCCCCCTGCCGGAGCAACAGGTTCTCATTATAAGGTACTAATATTACCAGATACAGCTTTTAGACTAAATCTGAAGCATGCTGTTTTTATGCCTCAAGCAGCTGCTATTTAAATGCTTACATAGCTAATGTACATAATTCAGAATGTTCATGTTTAATTTTTAAAAGTGACAACTAGTGGAATTCTCTACCAGTTTTTGTTGTTGGATTCCCCCCCCCCCCCCCCCCCCCCCCCCCGTGAGTAGTGTCAACCTGTATTACAGTAAGACATAGAAACCAACTATAAAATGCTTAAAATACATAAACTATTGCATAGCTGGGAAAACTTTCATCCAAATGTTTTGCATTTAAAAATCGACTGCCTTTTTAACAAAAGAAGTCTCTGCAGTTTGCATTGAAGAACCATAGTGCTCAGTGCTAAATTTTAAGGTTTTAAAAAATTCCAACTTGCCTTTTTTGTGTGAAAGATCTGAATTTTTGAACTGCTGACCTGGCCACACTGCAGCAAACCTAACGCTTAGTTTCACGGCAGTGAAAGGCTTCGCATCTTACGTTACCAATCTTGCAATAAAGGGTTGGGCAAGACTGTTTAATGCTGGAAAATAGAATTAGGTTATTTTTTTAAACTCGAGTATTGCTTTGAGTTTAGGCAGTTGCCCGCCTCAAGGTGGCTGAGAGGATTAGGAGGAAGGCACACAGCCATGTCCCAGCCCTGATCAGTGCCGAGGGCAGCGGGGACAGCTCTCGTCTCCTCCGAGTTCTCATGCCATCTTTGCAGCCAGCATTCCAGGGCGCTATGGAATAAGGCTGCTAGAGCATGTGCCTGCACCCAAGTGGTTTCTGTCCGTGGGCTGTCATTTCAGTGCATTTTGCGGTTCCTGTCCACCTGCATTGCAGTGCACAGGCAATAAATGCACAGGAGGCTTGGGACAGCTGGAGCTGGGAGCTTCTGCTCTGGCCCAGTGGCACCATTCTTGATGTCTGCTTTGGTTTTCTGTAGAAGCCTTTTTGGCTTTTCGCTCCTTTTTTCATTGAGCTTTCCCTGTTAATATACGCATGCATCCCACTGGCTTCTGTGGGTGACAGATAAGGCTCATGTGCACACTTTCTTGCTTTTCATTGTCTAAATTATAGGGAGGAAACCCCTTTATTTTCCATTAATTCTGTCTCCCTACACATATTGACAGTGGTTTGTGTAGCTTTATTATAAAGAGAGACTGGTCTGGGCTGTGGTGGGGTCTCAATGACAAAGTTATGTGGGTCAATCTGCTGCTCGTACAGAAAAGGTTTCTACATTCATTTCACACACATGAATGCTTTTTTTTTTTATTATTATTTTCCTTTTTCCTACAGTTCCCTACATCCAGTGATTTACTTCATTTTCCAGAGTTAAGGCCCCCTCAAGGAGTACCAGTCAGTGCTGAGTTACATTTTAGTAGAAAGAGAACTTCAGGGAATTTCATTCAGAATAGGATAGATTTTAACTCGGAGCATTCTTCTGTCTGTGCTGGTAAGTATTAACACAGAAATGTGTTCGATCTGCCATTTGCAAAACAGATTTAGAAGAAGCTTCTAAAGCTTTGTAGCTTCATAAGCATGATTTATCATTTGTTTATTATTTGTTTTGTTACTTATTTTCATTTACTATGAAGAGTTCAGTACCATGCACAGGGCTATGCCTCCAGATGAAGCAAGCAGCAGTGGTTTCATCTGTGCTCCTGGAGAAGTGTATGCCATCTCAAAAATTAGACTGTTCTCTTCCAGTCCTGCTGTACACACACAGATTTCCACTAGTTTAGATAGATCCAAAAGAGTTTATAGATCAGGGTTTTTGCAGATGTCAAGTACAAAAAGAAATAGTGTGGTTAGGGGAGCAAAAGGCCTTCCTTGTTTTTTGCCTCTCTAACTACAAAAGGCCTGAGCTTGCTGCAGCATTTGCAAAATTAGGAAAAAGAAGTACCGTATAGGTCAGCAACAGAGTAGTGCAGCCAACGTTCTTTCACACTGTAAAATACAATATGAATTGCAGATAAAGACGTAAATTAAAAGGAGACCCAGAATTTTTAGAGTGAGCTCTAAAGATTGTTTTAAAGGAAAATATCATGGTTTTAAAAAACAGGTCTGTAGAAGATTGTCAGTATAGTGTTCCACTTCATTTACACTAGAAGCATGGGCTCAGTGATTTGTATTTTAATGGCCAAAAGACATGTGAAAGGACTGGGCAAGACCGGGCCTGACTTACTCTCTTCACTTGGCAGGAGGTTGTATTCTCAGTTTTTTCTGAGGGGCATGGACATGTGTGGCATGCCAAGTTTGTTCACTGTTACGCTGTGGGTGAAGTCTAAAGAAACTCTTTGTGTTTTGGGGTTTTAAGGGGGGGCATTGTTCAGGATTTTTCTTTTGACCCCTGCAATTCTCAGTTGGAAAAGTGTCCTGGAAGAATGGCCAGCCATTTTTCCAGTTTGTGCTTATGAACAGTGTTACGAGGTTGCTTAGAAAATCTTGAATTAAGTACTTTTAAAATAGTTGTATTTTACACTGAAAGTTAGGCAAAGAGTCTTAATGCATTATTAAATATTATTGACTATTTTTTGTTGAGTACCATATATTAAATATTTATCTAGTTACTTGTGTTTTTCTTTTGAAAGGTCCTGTGGGCTCTCATCAGCCGCAAATATCAGGGAAATGTGGAACGCTTGGATACACACAGACACGTGGAAAGAGTGGTAGTGTAGAATCCGATCTACAATTTTTAGGATTAAGTAACTGTCAGCAAGACAAAGGTATATGAGTTCTAACCGTATCATAAGTCAGTGCATGTTGCTTTGGAAAAGTCTCTATTTCTATGCTGCCTTAAGGAAAGAAAACAACCTATTGCTAAAACATTGTTCCATCCCTATTCAGACAAATTGTGCCTCCCTCCTGTGTAGTACTTTTCATTTGTGGTTTTAATTTGCAGCTCACACCTCTGGTATCTGCCTATGTCAGGGTGCTGTACAGAAAGTGGCACTGCAACAGAATTGGAACTTTTTTTGAAGAATTGATTTTTAGAGTTCTGTTACTGTTATAGGTCAGATTGTCCCAGCTGTTTAACAGCAGGAGTCAGGGCTGAGCTTTGCCCTGGTTAATGTACCCTCTTTGGTGCCGTCTGAGGTGTGGGGGCAGGCAGGGTGTCTCAGCAGAAACTTGTGCAGGATGAGGCACAGGGTATTCCTTTCTGCTGAGCGCAGCAGGTACGGGAAAATGAGCTCAGTGTGCTGCAGAAACACTGTGTTGGTGCATGCAAAGCTTTTAATTCTTTTAATTCGTGGTCGTCTCTCTATGGTTTTCACTAGACACATAACCAGGGTGCTGCTGTGTTAGGTGGGTTTTGCTGCTAGCTACAAAAGTGAGACTAGGGAATTGAGACTGCTCTAGTGGAAGGCATCCCTGCGTATGGCACAGGGCTGAAACTAGGTGTGCTTTAAGGTCCTTTCCAATCCAAACCACACTGTGATTCTATGAGTCTATGAATAGATGGTAATGATACCAAATCTATGGACAAAGATGCTTGGAGTGGTCCAGATGTATTGTACAAGGGGTAGAGCTGACAGCCTTGGTGGAAGATATGTAGGCACTTCATTTGCTGCTAGCCACTGATGGGCTCTAGACACTGTGCTTTTCTCTGCCTACAGGAAGAAAGGAGAAATTTCTTCCATGTGTTTTGCCTCTCTAACTGTAGTTAATGTTCTCTTCTCCTAGCCTTGGTCTTCAGAAGGCTGTCAGGTACTTTGCCCACATTTGCTGATTTATTTCTCTGCAAACACTTTTTGTGCCAGATATTACTGTTAACTGAGCCTTTCTTCAGTAGTACAACCCACACCTGACTTAGCTTAGTTTTGCTGCCTCAGGATACCTGGAGAGCACTGGGATGCTGTAGCTTTGGAAAGCAGCAGGAGACAGAGACCTTGTAGCGATCTGATTCGTAAAGAGATATTTTTTTTATTTTTTTTTTTTGTGCTGTAACTAAAAGCACAGTTGAATGATTTGCTTTGGAGTGACACAGATGACTACCAGGCTCTCTGAGTGCGACTCACATTGTCACTTGCTCTCACTCCCAGGCTGTGCTTTTCCCTTATTCTGGTTGTGCTAGTGGAATTGTTTGCAGCGCTGTTCTGTCAACAAGACTGCTGAGGTGTCCCAGCATACAAGGATCCTTCCAGAGGCCGTCAGGAACTTTGTTAAAACTTGTCCTCATTTTCACTTGCATGGTTAAAAGCTTAGGTGCATGTGGGGGAACATGTGTCTGCTTTTTATGGGAAACAATTAAAATGGTATTGTTCCACATCTACACTTACCTTTCTATTGTTGATCTACTGGTTTTTGGAAAAAAAAAAATTACAGATTTTTTTTTTTTTTTAAGGAAGTAGAATTTATAACATTTGTGCTTTATTTTTACTCTTGTATCACTGAGTTTTGAGAGTGATGGTTGCAAATTTTATGCAATGCAGCCTTGGGATATGGAGCAGCAAGCAACAGAACTGTTCAGTCCTCTTGCATAATTTGTTTTTCAAAATCTAGCTCTTTAAAAATGACTGGGGAAACAGCTTAGTCATAAACTCATTTGATCAAGTGCAAAAAAGGAAATTGATGTTTTAGGGGACAATGCAATTTGCAAAATAAAGTTACCTGATTTGTTTGTTTGTGTGGGTAGAATGCTGACCTTCAGTTTTTGACTGTGAAGATGGTGTGTTCTTTTATTACAAGACCTGTCAAAGAGGCTAATTACCACAAATACTATTTTCTTTTTCTTTGCTCACGTTATACCAACCTAAATTTTTCCAGCAAGACCCAGAGAAGTTTTTGCAATCAAGCAGAGAATACAATGCCCTTCCAAGGTCCTAATGCCAATATAGAAATACCTGTTACTTCTAATATCCTAATACCTGTGCAAGAAGAATATTACTCATTGCATTTGGCCTTCTTTCCTCTTTATTTGTATTTGGAAATGCAAATATGGAATTCTCCACACTCAGACGAGCTCTTTAAAACCTGCTTACAAACAACTGTGTCTCGAATAAGTAGAATCTGTGCTGATTTCATTCCAATTTATACTGAGAGCTAGTGGTAGAGATTGCTATTTATGGTCTGATTTACTGTCTTTGAAGACCTTGTGTAGATTTTGGTTAACCTGAAATAGTTTTGACTTAATTACAGTTGCTTTGCCAATTTAGCTGATTTCTTTCAAATACTTACTAAAGGCAATCTAATATTAGATTAAAAATAGCTTGTGTGCTCATCACTTGCTGATTTTGTATATGTTGTCCATATGCATTCTGTTTGGGTTTTTTTCCTCCTTCTTTGGAGTAACTTTGTCGTTACAGCTGCTTATAGGACAGTTTGTCAGGGCACTATTCTTTTTCCTTAATTAAGGAAGCTAACTACTTTTTAAAGGTACGAAGGTACCAAACAAGATGTTGTTCAAATGTATTTATAATAGTAAATTAAATTGTGTATATTTTTTTTAACGCTCATCTCATTGTAAAGGGTGTTTTCTGGTGTAATACAGAAATGACACATCAAGTTTATTCTGGTGTGTGCTGTAATCCTGCCCACCCCTACAAAGGACTGACATCTGCTTGTGTCTCTTCCAGGGGAGAATTTGCAGGAGAAACATGTTCCTCTGCAGCTGAAACCCCCCCTGGTAAGGCAACCAGCCCCCTGCAGGGGCCTGAATGGGACAAAACCCATCCCTCCCATTCCCCGCCTGCTGCCAGATAAGATTAAATTAAATTTGACAAAGTGGAGAAATGAAGAGTGCAAGGACACGAGGCTGAATAAAGCAGACGAGAAGCTTGCAGCAGCTGATCTTTCAGAGTTAAATGTGGACGATGAGGAAGTGGACCAGGAAGAGGTTAGTTTAAATATACAGCATATAAATTGTGGAGGGTTTTTTTTCCAATCAAGAGCCAGAAAATAATGTTTCTGACTTAAGTTTTGTGACACTGTCATCAGTAAGCAGATTTCCATGAGATACCATTGGGTGTCTGATAGATGCTAAATAAAGCAATAAAAACTGATGTGGAAGCACACTTCCTGTGTTCCAGACATCTCAATTTCCCTTGCTTTTCTCAGAGCTGAAGTCGTAATGTTTTCAGTTACTGTAGTACCAGTGCAAAACTGTGGGTCTTTATACAGCTTCTGTTCTCACTATTGTGACTTCAGGGACCCCAGTATAAGAAGGACATGGACCTGTTGGAACAAGTCCAGATGAGGCCGTGAAGATGCTCTCCACAAAGCTGGAGCACCTCTGCTATAGAGACAGGCTGAGAGAGCTGGATTTCTTTAGCCTGGAGAAAAGAAAGATCTGGGGAGACTTTAGAGCAGCTCCTAGTGCCTGAAGTGGCCAGCAAGAAAGTTGACAAGGACCTGTAGGGACAGGACAAGATTTAGATTAGATATGGGGAAGAAGTGCTTTCCTGTAAGGGTGGTGAGGCACTGGCACAGGTTGACCAGAGAAGCTGTGGCCGCCCGATCCCTGGCAGTGTTCAAGCCCAGGTTGGACAAGGCTTGGAGCAACCTGGTCTAGTGGAAGGTGTCCCTGCCTGTGGCAGGGGCAATGGAACTGGATGAGTTTTAAGGTCCTTTCCAACCCAAACCATTCTGTGATCCTATGATTAGTTTCAGGGATGGTGGGGAGGTGGAGCTGTATCCCCAGCATCCACATCAGTACACATCTAAACTGTTACAGCATCAATTACATGAGAAACATAGGTATCACCATGACTGGATTTTGCTATGGTCTTCCCCACATGCTCCCATGCCACACATCCTTAATTTCTGTCACAGTTCATAGATTGTCTGAATCTCAGGTCCTGTCTTTAGCACCTGTGGATCTGAGAGCATTTGCAGTAGGATTTAATGTCTTTGCCTTACTGCCTTTATCTTCCATACTCTAGTCACTTCTGAAAGTAACTTGCATTGGTAAACAGACAGGGGAAGAATTTTTTTAATATCAAATATATTCAGCAAAAAGAGTGTAGAATATTCAGTAACATGATTCTCTAGTGATTATAGATTTTCTTGCTTATTTGAGTAGGAGTTTTGCTTACTAGGCACTATTTTCAGGATTCACTTCTGTGTATTTTGCAGTTTTGTGCGGTTCTGTTGTGAAAAGCCTGAGATTCCAGTTGCCTGTACTTGCAGCTATTAAAGGCTTCCTTTAGCCTGTTAAAAAAGGATAAGAGTTGATGTATTTCTTCAGGAATCTCTTCCTGTGTTTTGCAGAATGAAGCTAGGATACAGTGTCACTGTGAATTTGCATTTACTTGCAGGATAATTACTCTTGTGAAGTAAAACAATGAAAGAGATTGTTATAATATTGCATGACCTGTGTAAATGGTTGGTCACATTGCCCAACAGGGGCATGTGCACTCCTGTGAATTGAACTGAACACTCAGAAACATACTTTCTTCTGTTTACAGAAGCTTTTTTTTTTTTTTTTGGTGCACTGAATAAACCCTGTCATTTTGTTTTCAATCCTGTTTAGATGAAGAATTCATTAAGATCTCTACGAAACAGTGCAGCTAAGAAAAGGGCAGTGCTAAGCAGCAACATTTCAGGTCTTGGAAGTCCCAATTCTGCTCTTAAATTTGATCTGTATGGGGGTTCCCCCTCCCATGTGTCCTGCCCGAGCGTGGATGCCTACAGCGAAAGCGGTGTTTACAGCCAGGAGTCTCTAACTTCACCCATGTCCAGAGTCCCCCACAGAAGAAGAATGTGAGTTGAACTCGTGTGTTAACTCTGAAATTCTAACACATAGTCTCTGCTGGTGTTAGATAAATATTAAAGGGAGTGAAACCCGTAATATGTTTGTATATAAGATTGCTTTGCTTAATAGCTTGATTTTTATAGGTGAATTATTTTCCTATCTGCGAATATGCTGCTGTACACGGCAGCTGCTTAATTATGTTATTCTAGTTTGTGCTTGCTTTTAATTTGCAAGAGTTTCCCAGTGCAGCCATAATAACACAGTGCAGTGAAGTGCTGCCAGCAGTAGTGAATATTTTATTAAGACTTTAGTCTGCCTTAGAAGGTATGTGACCCATAGCCTAAACAAATGAGTAAGAAGGAGAATGAGTTAAAAGGAAGGATGTAGTTTGCTTATTATAGCCTGGAAATTGAAGAAGGAATGGGTTGTTTTTTTATCATAAGAGGAAGACAGTGTAGATGTGTTTCTTATTACTGCAAATCATGAACTGTTTCCATTTTATTCCTGACAGACTATTGTTAATTTAAAATGCCTTCACAGAACTCTTCTAAAAAGAAATTGTGTGATGACATATCCTCTCTGACTTTAAAGAACAATGACCCACTTGGTTATGAGCAGTATAAACTATTCTTTAATGAAATAAAAAAGGTTTTGAAGAATTTTCAAATTTTGCAGTACAGAATCTCCTTTTCTGCTCTTGGAGCCCATGATAAAGCTGCTTGTAGCTCTGCTCTGAAGATATTTTTCTGGGTTTTTTTTTGGTGTACTAAGTGCATCTTTTTATTGCTGGCATACAACTGTATTAACAAAATAGGAAGGAAGAGAGGGAATATGCAAACAAAAGGGTTTTAAGACAAAGAGACTGGAAGGATTCAGAAACAGAAGGTTTGCTCAGTTCTTTGATCTCAGAACTAATTTATATGTATTACTACATATATGTAGCAATATGCATTACTGCTGAATCACAGTTTTAAGAATAATTTTTAAAATAATACATTAAAATGCTAGAACACCTAAAAAGCCAAGACTATAAGCCTCTGTGTATAATGTTCTTCCAGGCAGGGTTTTGGCTAAGGACATAACTCTAACCAACATGCCTTTTCCATTATTCAGTGAAACACAAACTGAAAGTTTTACAGGATTCACAGACAGAGGAATTCTGAACTAACAAGGAAAAGAGGGGACATCGGGCAGTAAGACTGAATTTGTAAAAGTGACAAAATATATTCCAGAAGACAAAATCTGGCAACAATAATGTAGGCTTTTTTTGTGCATTTACTGTTAGAAGGATCAGTTAATCTACTGGTAAACTGCCATGAGAAATGGGAGCTTGGCACTAGTATTAGTGATGTTTCTGGAGCGTGGGCTTTCCTCAGGATCTTAAAAGCAAGTCTTCTAGTTGTGTATTTCAGTCCTAGCAGATAGTGGAAGAACTGCTGTTTCCATGTGACTATTATGTAGTTAGGCACAGTATTCAACAGTGCAGGGCTTTTCCAGTCAGCTTTAATGTTCAATCACATCATCTTAAACAAGAAGTATCAAGATTGTCTGATAAATAACAGCATTTTTCTGGTGAATGTCTGTCTGCTAGACACTGAGCTGAAACAAGCTCATTTCTAGAAGTGAAAGGCTAATGGATTTGGTCACTCTCATTTGCCATTCTTTGCCAGATAGAAAAGGCCAAACAAGTCTTAGTTTTTTGAGTGTGTGCTAAATTTAATCCCAGTGTAAAGTTTACTCTCAAGGATTGTCTTTATGGTGTTCTTTGTAATGGACCTGCTCATCAAATAATCTCTACTGAGTTAAATTTATTTTTCTACTCAAGTGAACATTTGTGGAATCATACTGGAAATATTTGTCCATAACCTACATTGGGGAGGAGAAACTGAAATCTGTTGGTTTTGCTACATAGTGTTATTTATCTGGACTCTGACGAGTGTGTGGCATTGTACCTATAAAGATTTGTTTTATATTTTAACAGGTCAGACAATTTTCTACTACTTGGCAAAAAACCACAGACTGCAAGAACATTTTCTGCAAGAAACAGAGACCCTAATGTGACAGAACGTAACACCATCAGAGGTATAGCACTGTACCTTTCAATATATACCTTGCTTCACTGATGTGAAGTAACTTCTTCCTTCTGCAGATAAGGACTTGGGGGTGTTGGTCAATGAGAAACTTAACATGAGCTGGCAGTGTGCGCTCGCAGCCCAGAAAGCCAACCGTATCCTGGGCTGCATCAAAAGGAGCGTGACCAGCAGGTCGAAGGAGGTGATCCTGCCCCTCTACTCTGCTCTCGTGAGACCTCACCTGGAGTATTGTGTGCAGTTCTGGTGTCCTCAACATAAAAAGGACATGGAACTGTTGGAACAAGTCCAGAGAAGGTCCATGAGGACGATCGGGGGACTGGAGCACCTCCCGTATGAAGACAGGCTGAGAAAGTTGGGGCTGTTCAGCCTAGAGAAGGCTTCATGGAGACCTGATAGAAGCCTTCCAGTATCTGAAGGGGGACTTGGGTCACCAGCCTTGAGTGGTATGGTTTAATGTGAGGTGTCCCTGTCCATGGCAGGGGGTTTGGAACTAGATGATCTCAAGGTCCTTTCCAATCTTAACTATTCTATGATTCTATGTAGGAGAATGTTCATTTGATGTGTCTGTTCTTACTTGTTCAATGAGTTCCTGTCCCTTCATCACCGTTCATAGCATTCCTTGCTGGAAGAGCATCACCATCTTGGGTATCCCAAAGCAAAATATTCCCTAGCAGAACAAAAAATCCTGCTCTGATCCAAGTTCTCAGCTGAAGAAGAAAACACAAGAAGAATCTTAAAAGATTTCAGTATGGCTCATTATCTCATGAGGATGTGGTGACAGTGACAGCCACCAGTGCAGAACTTCAAGACAGATGGGCATGGGTAGGTGGTGGCAAACATACCAGTACCATCACATCTGCAGCCATGGGAAGTAAAACTGCAGTCTGGTGTTCTGGTAGCACCTGAGGAAGATGCCTGCGTCACTCTGGTTGCTGGCATTACCAGAGTTAGGTTACCTTGGTTATGCTTATCAATCCCTTCAATTAAATGGAGGGTTAGTTCCATGGAATTTGTGAAACATGAAGTAAAAGGCATGTATATGAAAAAACTTAGGTCATTTTAGGTATTATAATGATCCATTAAAGGATTCCTGAAGTAATTAGTGGTGTTTGAGTTTGTTATTTTGTTGTTCTGTTGGTTTTGTGGGTGTGTTTTTTTTTATTTCACCAAAACTAAGATGTTTCTGTTGTTTATAATTGTAACGTAAAAATGTGTTGTAAGACTTCTACAGGATGTGAATGTAAAGATTTCTTCTAATTAGCATTATATTATTTTCACTTAGTTGACTTATGACTTTATTTGGCTTTTAATGCTGAATTACTTAGTATTTGGTTGTTCATATTTGAAAGACTTTGAACTAAAAAATCATTTTTCAGCGTTTGAGTTATACTTTCAACCTGGGTTGTTCTGTAGATGAAAGGCTTTGCATGTGAAAAATTAATAGAGTCTGAGCACCTTTAGAATCATAGAATAGTTGGGGTTGGAAAGGACCTTAAGATCATCAAGTTCCAACCCCCTGCCACGGGCAGGGATGCCTCACACTAAACCATGCTACCCAAGGCTCTGTCCAACCTGGCCTTGAACACCGCCAGGGATGGAGCATTCACAACTTCCCTGGGCAACCCATTTCAGTGCCTTACCACCCTTACAGTAAAGAACTTCTTCCTTATATCCAATCTAAACTTCCCCTGTTTAAGTTTGAACCTGTTATGCTTCTTTGTTGAAATACTCAGATTCGTGTAGGCAAAGCTGCTCACACTGTATGCATAAACCAGTCTGAGGGTGTTTGAAAATGTAACTATTTGCGAATCCTGTAGTAAAAGAAAAAAGTATTTAAATTTATTTTTTAATTTTTTTAGTATTTGATTTCTTTCCTTTAGCATGTCCAGCATTTGGTGATAACGTTAGAACAGTTGGCCAGCGTTTGAACTGTGTCAATAGATGTGGCGATTATGAGGACAAGAAGCAAGAATTGTCACATACTACTTTTCAAAGTCAAAATATGGAACACCAAAGAAATTATAAGCATTCAAAAGGTTTGTGAGTTTGCTATATCACTGTTCACATAAGCTCTCATGTCAAAAACTGAGGTTATATATAGTCTTTTGTAAACCAAGTTGTATAGAAAATGAATTTCAAATGTGGTTTCCTCATTTCTAGTCTTTATATTTATGCTGCCAAGTTGGTTTTTTTCCTGACATTAACTGAAATTAGACTGCCAATTAAAATTATAAGTCAAGTGATAGTACATAGCATGAAAAAAAGGACCAAGTTGTTATATATCTTAGTCTGAATAAATGAACAGCTTTAAAAATGTTTGGTTTCAAATTACTCTGTTCATTGGTAAAATTAAGGAACTTAAGTGATTACACTAAACATTTCATTTTTAACTATGTCATTTTTAATGCATCCTAGGAGCTACTGTCCCCTACTTAAGTCAGTTTAAGGAGCACATAGTTTTCACTGTCTGTTGTTCACAGCTCCCTAAAAGTGGCGAAAATAGATATCAAATAATTATGTTTTAGTGACAAATAGAAAATTAAATAAACATTGAATAAGGAAGATCTTTGTCCCAGTAAGACTTTTTGTTTTCTCGTATCTTGTTTCAACATTAAACATGGGCAGTTTTGTCTGTTTTATAGGAATGGTGGAGCTGAGCAATGGAAATAAACTTTATAATCAGATCTGTAAATCCTAAGCAAAAAAAACAAACAAACCAGAACACCACCACCTGCTTATCCTGTGATGCCCATAAAATGCTGTGAAATTGAAGTTTTTAAGTTTTTGGGCTTGAAGCTGAGGTTAGGACAGAAGGTTCTGATCTGGGTGTAGGTTCCAAAGGGGATCCAGCATTGTATGTCAGTTATGGTGTAAGACAGAATTGCTCATGAAGCTTCAAGTTTATTTTCAAGAAAATCCCGAAAGACTAATTCTGACCTTCTTGGATTTTAAATCTTGGAACATTCAGACACCTCTGATCAGGTTTGTGGGAGGACAAAGTAACACGTTCAAGAGAAACCCTTCTTGACTTATCTTTCTTCTCATAAAGCATAGAAAAAAGCTCCAAAATTAAAACTATGGAATCAGATAATTTGTAAAGTAAAGAGCTGTCTGCCAGACTCTTACCTGGGATTATTTTTGGCAAACTAAAGCCCGAGATGAGAGTGTAAAGCATAACAGAGTTGTCAAGAGTCCCAAGTTGTTGAGATGCTGCAGCTTGCCTGGTAAAGGGCATTTTGCAGCAGCTGTAGATGTAGATGGTGGGCTCTAAGTTTACCAGAATACTTCTCAGCTGAGATGGTTCAGTAGTCCCCTGACTTCATTTCTGCACATTCTGGTAGAAATTAAGTAATCAGGTTCTGCTAAATCATCTTTTCTGTTGAGAAATTTCAGATGAACCAGATTAAATAGCAAAAGTAAATTGTGCCCTTCTTCTGTCACAAACTGTAATATTTACTTGCAACTAGTGCAGCCAGTATAGAAGTACATAATATATGTCATCCACTTTGGTGGACAATTTGAGGGACTGCTAATTTAGATGGGAAACAGCATTAAGTGCTGCTTGGGAGAAAATACATTGCAAATTCTGTTATGATTCAATTGTGCTGAATCATGTAAGAAACAGTGCTATCCTTCCACTAAGTGAGTTAGGAACTTCTGGTTGTTTGGGTTTTTTTTTCAGAGGAATAAGTTGGCTTAAAAATCCTCTTGCAATCACTGGTTTTCTTTATGATCTTTTAGCAGCAATTTTGTTTGATATATGCTTTCCATGGTTTTGGGGATATAAATATTTAATAATTCCTCTTCAGTAACTTGCAAATATACTGATTCATTAAAGCGATAACTTCAGATGTCAGTGTATAACATTTTAGAAGAATAAAACATGTACCAAAGCATAAACTACATTATTTATATTATGTGATTTATTTTTTTTAAGGTCTTGCAGAGCCAGCATCTAGTTTTCCACAGACAAACAATCTAGATTTCATCTCACAAAGTGTCCCCTCTGAAGATGCAGCTGTAATTGCTGGTAAAGGTATTACAAAACCAAAATTATCTCCTACATCTCATAATGTTGTTAAAATGAGGGAAGATGTACCTTTATAGAGTGGGAAAAGGAAAAATAGATTCTGTACATTTTAGATTGTGAACAATCTTCAGTTTAAATGGAAATATAAAGAATTACACTTCAAAGTTTTGCAGTTACTGGATATGCTGTTCTAGTCCAACAACAAAGAATAGCAGCAAGTTATGGTTCCAGTCCAGTGTGCCCTCATGTACATACATTCACTCTACTCAGTAGAATAAAATAAGAGTAGTTACGGGTGGAGATTGACACTAATAGTATAATAGCAGTGATTTATCTTCTTGAATTGCTTTTCGTTTTCTTTAGCTTTAATAAGTTCTGCTGAATAAAATGATTATTTTGGTGAGGGCACAACATGATATGCCTTTCAGGTGTTTCTGAAGATCCTTCTGCACAAGAGCACAGACAGTCTCTAGCATGTATAGCTAATGGAGATGACCAGGCTTTGAATGAGATGAGTGAGCAGTCATCAGGTACCTGTGGGAGAAGCATCCAGCAGGACAGAGCTTCTCATTTCTACATTGAAAATGAAGAAGTAAGAATTTCAGAACTTTTTTATTGTCTTGCTTCCTGGTTTTATGTGTGTGAATACAGCTCAATACAGTTATGTAGTCTCTATGTTGTGGTAAACAAGAGTTTGATTAAAATAGCCTATAGCCCGCAAGCTGCTTCTCCCTGCTTTTTCTTTTTGGTTCCACTTGGATATAACAGCAAATTGTTGTGTCAGAAGCTTCCCACCTAACTTGGACGCCTCTGGGAGAAGGGCTTCAGGAGACAATGAAGCTGGAAATGTCCTCTTTGACTCCCACAGCACATGGAAATGTGGAAGGAGGAATTGGCTGGTTTTAATCATGTCTTTTTCTTTTTTCAATGGACGCATTAATCTGGCTCCATTCATAAGTTTTTTAAACAGTGTCTGAATATCTGTCCCATAATATGGCTTCCTGAGGAGTGGTGCTGCCTTATTAAATGCTGTTTACATCTGATATAAAGCGGAACAGGTTTTATCTGAATGAAGTGCAATGCAAATTTCAGAAAATTTGAAATTTAAATCGGAAGTCTTTCTGAAAGCATTTAAAATAATATTTTAAGATGACTAAAATGTTAATGGTAAACAGCGTCTTAGTTTTCTGATTTCTGCTGAAGATATGAATACTTGGAAGGATCAAATTCCACCGAGTAAATGGAAGAATGTGTTAAATGTTACTAAGTTTTCATGAGGAACCACAGAAGTCTTAAACATATTAAAAAGCAGGATCAGATCACACTGCTAAAAGACCACTGTTAAAAAAACACAACAACCATGTGTGCTTAAATGTGAGTTAGCCCAGCCTGTGTATTTGTTAGCTAAAACTCCAGGAAACTACACAACGCTGCCAAGGAATAGAAGATCTTTTCTTATAGACCTTAGTTCTCTAACTATTCAGATATTCTAGAGTAAGTGATTATTTCCCTTAAATGTTTAACCCTGGAATGTTGCTTCTTTTTGCCTGTAGGACCATTTACTGTGCAAAAAGCACTCATCCAGCGCTTTTGGGGCTTGGATTTAATATTTGTGTGAATAATTTCCTTTTGCTCTGTAGAATAATGGTGACAATAACAATTTTCCATGCATACCTTAGACAATATAAAGAACTGGGTAAGTTATTGAGCAATTTTTGCATTATATTGCATATTATAATGGGTGAATTAATTTTTTGCAGAATAGAGTTACCTTGTCAAAATCTGCCCAGGATAAGGCAAAGCGGAATAAAAGAAAAGAAAAAGAATACAATCATAAAAAATATCAGGATGTCACAGACCTTGAAGGAAAGGATCAAAAACCTTGGGAAAACCTTGAACCAAAGGAACCAGAGATAATGACAGCAGAAAGTGAGAATTAGTGTTTGTCTTGAATAATACACTTTTCAATGCTGCTGAAATGGACATGAAAATTCTGTGATAACTACAAAAAATCCTGACTGTTTAGTGTAAATAGGGTATTACTAGAATTAATTTTACACTGTAGTTTACTCTTTAGTAATTTCTTGTCAGCCTTATAAAGCAAATGGTGGAGAATAAAGTGCTTATGGGAAATATTTGAAAGACTAGTTAAGAAAAATTTCAAAAGACAAATTAGGACTGGAAATACTTCTGGGTTTTTTTTGTTTTGTTTGTTTGTTTCTTCTGGTTAGTTGTTGTAGTTCAGACTTTTCCTACTATTTTCTAGAGTTAAATCTCTGGGGGGACATATTAACATCATGAAGAAATGCATCCTTGTCATTAGAAAATGTGGCTTTGAATCCTTCATTAAAAATGACATCCAGCTTCAAGAAGACAAACAGCTTACCACATTGTAGCACAGCTGGACATTTTAAGTTAACGAAATACTATTAAAATATTTGGACATGTGGAGTGGGGCAGTTCCAAAATACTCTTGGGTTTATTATGAGTTATTTGTACAACAGACAGTCCTGAGGTGCTCTAGAAGGTTAGTAATTTTGGGGTGGTGGTGAAGAGGATTTGAATTCATCAACATGTGCATTTAGTTTTGCACTAAATAATCCACTATATTTGTGTTTGCGATCTTTAATGTGGTGACTATTTGAAAAAAAAAAAATCATTGATATGAACGAACTAGTGAGTGATCAAGGTTGTTACTGGGAAAGCTGTCCTTTTGAAAACCTGGTCCCTTAGTAGCAGCAGTCTATATCTCAAACTTCTTATATTTTCTTCCTTGGAATGAGTTTTTTCAAATTATGCTAATTATTTCTTATGCTTCATGACTTTGCAGATGGAATTTCTCTTAGGGCACAAGGACGCTATAAAGACAAGAGGTCACCCGTCACAGAAGCAACAGACAAATCACAACTGTGTCCCTTTTCAAAGCCGGAAATGGCACTGACAGAAGCCTTAACACTTCTAGCTAATGATGACTGGTAGGTGTAAACATCTGTCTGCAACCTGGATGTAATACAGAAGGCATTTATTTTGATAACTTGAAAAACAAACAAACAGAAACCCCAAAATAAAACAGCAAAAAGGACATAACATAAAAAGTAGTGAGAAGGATTGCAAGTCATATATGAGAAAAAAAGAAAAAAAAAGGTTTTTTTCAATCTAAACCTAGATTAAACTGTGACTATTGTAAATTGAGGCTTGATAGATAAGCTTTCAGAGGCTTGTGGACCTATGTAAGTTTAAGCATTGATCCGGAGAGGGGCCCCATCAATATTTTCCTGTCACTTCCTGTAGAATATAAGGCTTCAGTGGGCTCTGACTGGTGAAATGGGGCTACAGTGCTGCTACCTTTTCAACTCAGGGAAGGAAAGTAGTGCTTTAATTGCCACTAGTGCAAGCTGTGAACAGAACTATAGGAAAGAATTGAGAGACTGGTATGCTAAAATACTCCTGCTACTGCATTAAAAGAAAGACTCGCGTTGAAAGAATTTTGTACATTATATACCATTGCTTAATTTTACAATCTAATTTGTTTGCCATTTTGTTTCTTGGAATTCTAGGGTTTAATATTTTTATAAAAAAATCGCAAATTGTATTACGTAATTGCATTTGAATTTATTTTTTTTTTAACATAGGGAGAAGAAAATTGAAGGTCTGAACTTTGTTAGACGTTTGTCTGCCTACCATGCGACTACTCTGACTGCAAATCTACATGAAACAAGCATGGCTGTGGCTCAAGAGGTTATACTTTACTATCAAAGTATTTCACTGACTGTGTGGGTGTATGTATTGTATAGCTCTCAGATAAGCTGAAATCTGGTAAAGATGAGTTTGTGTTCAGCAAAGGAGCTCATACTTCAGATACCAACACTTGATCTGATTTGCTAAAAGACTGAAAATATTTAGATAACAATAATGTTTTTCATGTGTACGTATTTTAATTCTCACACATTGTGCATCAAGTTAGAAATATATTTCTCAGTTGCTTTTAATGTTAGTTAAAAACTACAAAGGGAAACATTAAGTTTTATTTATTTTAAAGTATATTTTATAAACATTATTCATTGTTTGTTTGGGTCTTTCCTGTGTGCAGGTCAAGAATTTACGCTCAGGTGTTTCCCGAACTGCTGTGGTCTGTTTAGGGGATTTGTTCACCTACCTGAAAAAGAGCATGGATCAAGAACTAGATTATACAGTAAAAGTCCTTTTGCACAAAGCTGGTGAATCCAACACATTTATAAGGGAAGAGGTAGACGAAGCACTGAAGGCTATGGTTAATAATGTGACTCCAGCACGTGCACTTTTTTCTCTTATAGATGGAGGGCAAAGGTAATTCTTATAGACTTTATATCGAAATAACTTGTGAATAGGTTAAGTTTACCTAATATAGTCTTTTTAAAAGAAAAATAAAAATAGAATAGGCAGAAATTTGACAATATATAAGTCAGCTCTGCAAAACTTCTACCCAGGGCAGTGTTTGTTGGTGTAGAAGTAAAATGTAGACCCCCAACCTTCTCCTTCTATACATTATGTTAAAAGTTAGCTGTTGATTTTTGGAGCTTGCTGTATTTTTTTGTAATTTTGCAACACTTAAGTAATTTTATTTGCTTTTAGTAAAGCTCATACACTACATTACATACATTACATACATACATTACTACATACATACGCTAGTAAAGCTCACATAGCATTCTCTTTTTGCATTTGCTCTGCAAAAAAATGACTGTCTTTTCAGTTTTCAGCACTAAGTTTTATTCAGAAAGATGATTTATAACTTACAGTTCTCTAGCTGCAGCTGTCTTGGTTGATTTCCTGTTCTCTACCCTTAACTAGTTAATAGTCTTTTTGTCTGCATTTTAATTTCCTTTACAGTAGTGGTGGCCATTATTTTCTTCAGTACCTGAAACACAACAAGCCCCTGTTTCCAATTGCATGCTTTGATTTTGACCTCTAGCTTGCCTCAGTCTGTAGTAGAAGTTGACTTCCTTTCTTTCACTTTCCCTGTAAAGTATGTGTTTTTTTTTCTTTTATATCCTCATATATCCACTTAATCAAGCATTCCAGTATGTTATATATAAATATCTATATCTATCTACTTTTACTTGATCTTTTATCTCTTTGTCATCAGTTAGATGACATTTAATAGGCTACAGTTCTCATCCCTTCCATTAAGTGTTTCAGATGCCACATTATGAATCAATCCTTAAGATTTATAGCTGTGCAGAAAATCTAAGACTTAGCCTTGATTCAAAATTGTTTGTTTCCTATTTTGTTTCCTGGGAAGCTGGTTGTTGTGGGGTATGTTGATTCTGTCTCCTGAAAGCCAGTGGGAACCATACTGCAATTACCTGAACTTCAAACTGCTGAGAGGCAAATAGCAGCCTCAGGACTTAAATTATTTATCAATCATGCCTGTATGTAGGGTTGGTTTGGATTTTTTGGTGAATTTAAGAGCAGCAGGCAGTTACTGCACACTGCTTTAGTTCAGAAGACATATAAAGTGGTCTGTTCATGTACTTTCATCTTGTCTTCAGAAGTCCTTGGACAAGCAATACTTATGATCATAATTGGCTACATCTGATCTCCCCATTTTTAGTAGCAGATTCAAATACACTGAACTACCCTTAAGAAATGTCTAGACTTATAAAGGTTTGACCCATCCAATTTGTGAATTCATATATCTAAAGCATCAAAATTGTCTGAGCAGTGAGCCCAAATACAGCATTTAAAGCAGGGATTAAATTCTTCACAGCTAAGAAGACTTCAGTCAAAGCGGTGTATAAATCGTGGAGTACAGTATGTTTTTAATGTGTTATCAATGGATGGCCTAACTAGCACTGTGAGTTATAGCTTTTCTATTGGCCTCATGGTACTCTAGCCGTATGAGCAACAAAGCCCATGCAGCACATTCAGAGCTGTTGCCTCTAGAGGCTGTAACAGTGAATGTGAGAATTACCTTTCAAAGTGGAAATTTGAGAGAAAAGTTATGTGTCTTCAGTATGAGGTGGAAAGGTTCTGTTGGACACAACTGCAATTACACAAAGGATATATTTTCTAAATTGGGCAATTTTTGCTCTAAAGATACTGGACTATTGCTATAAACTCGTATCTACGAACGGGTGCTTGATCCAAGAGCATGATTCCGAGACTAATCTCAAAATGATTGTATTTCAGAAATTTTAAAATCGTGTTTCTTACCTGTATGAACTGAGTTTAATTTTAAGGTCTTACATGGATGCAAAAAGACTTCTAACTATCCTGCATGAGCAGCAGGCATTCATGGGGAACGGGGGCTTGTTTGCTTCTGTGGAGTGAGCGCTTTGCACCTCATGGTTCTTGTTTTCCATTTGGTGCATGCAGCAGGAGTTAAATCCGTTACCGTTTCCCTTCTCCTGAGACATGTGGCTGCTATATAGACATAACTGCAAGTACTAAGCATGAGCCAAAACTAGTCTTAAGCTAGTCTTAAACTTGGTACCGCAGCAGCAGCTGAGAGGATGGCTGCATTAGCAGGGAGCTCAGCATGGGAGCTGCTACACTACTGGAAAGATTTTGCATCCTGGGGTCTCTTCTGAACTGCCACAATTTGCAGTTGGAATAGACCCAGTTAGTTGTTTTTGTGCAAACTGAAGCTGCTTTGTGCAGTATAATCTAGTGATAGTTTTATATCCAGTAAGGCTGTGGTAATTTGTAGAACCAGAGAAAATGAAATCTTGGTGAAATGGGAACACAGTTATTCAGGAAGAGCACTGGACATTCATGTCAAACTGAAAAGCTGGGAGCCACTGATGTGGCTTCGAAGTCAATTCTGTGCCTTAGCTCTCCTTCAGAACTGTATCTCCTGATGCACCATACAAATGTCTCATTGACTGTGCAATGATACTGACCTCAAAGTAGAGTTTTTAATCCAAAGACAAAAATAAAATTGGAAAAGTTTGAATTTGCAGAATTGTGTACCCTGAAATGTGGGATCAGTAGGTATAGCAAACTTATATGAAAGGTTAGTTTGCTACACAAGTTTGAAAAATAATTCCAGCTTTTCTCTCATTTTCATCAGCATAGGTGTTTGAGATTTTAAGTGAATGAAATGAAATTTAATCAAACGGATTACCCTTTTTAATAAAGTTGTCTGTGCTCCACATCTCTATATGACCAGAATAAGGATCTGCATTTCACCAGTATAATACTTGCAGATTATGCTAAAGATGAAAAAACAAAACTTGTATAGTCTATTTGGTAGAGCACATAAATATTGCTGTTTGATTCCTGTGAGGAGTTTTTACTAAGCAGCTGTGTTTTCTTTAGCCACCTGAATTTAGCTGTGAGAAGATGTGCAGCTCAGCACCTCTCAGACATTGTAGAACGTATGGGCCAGGACCGGATTCTGTTTGGAACCAAACGTGTCGCTGATAAGCTTTTTCCTGCAATAGTCAGGTTTACACAGGATAGTTCACAACAAACAAGGTTAGTAAGTTTAATAGTTAAGATAAGCACATTCCAGGTGGTTGAATCATAGAGTCACAGGATCATGGAATGGTTTGGGTTGGAAGGGACCTTAAAGATTATGTAGTTCCACCTCCCTGCCACAGGCAGGGACACTTTCCACTAAACCAGGTTGCTCCAAGCCCTGTCCAACCTGGCCTTGAACACTGCCGGGGCTGGGGCACCCACAGCTTCTCTGAGCAACCTGTGACAGTGCCTCACCACCCTCACAGTGAAGAGCTTCTTCCTAACATCTAATCTAAATCCACACTCTTTCGATTTAAAGCCATTCTCCCTTGTCCTACCCCTACATGCCCATGTCAAAAGCGCCTCTCCAGCTTTCTCACCAGTCACTTTAGGTACTAGAAGCTGCTGTAAGGTCTCCCCAGAGCTTTCTCTTCTCCAGGCTGAACAACTCCAGCTCTCAGCCTGTCTCCGTAAGAGAGGTGCTTCAGCCCTCAGAGCATCTTCCTTGGCCTCTTCTGGTCTTGCTCTAACAGGTCCATGCCTTCCTTATGTTGGGGGCCCTAGTGCTGGATGCAGTGCTGCAAGTGGTGTCTCACCAGAGTGGAGTAGAGGGGATGAATCCCTTCTCATGACCTGCTGGCCATGCTGCTGGTGATGCACCCCAGCATACGGTTGGCTTTCTGGGCTGCAAGCACACGTGGTACAGGGACTCAAAGAACATACTCTGTTGGGCACAGATGAGATGCAAGACACAGAGGGATTGTTGGCACTAGGATCCATGCTGTCTGACTGATAAGGCTTGACCATCCTATTTAAAGATATCTGAAAGCTCATTAATTTTCTCAGTTGTTGATTAAACAGTGATTCTTGAGCACAGTTTTTTTTTGTGGGAGAATGAAATGTGTGTCTATATCTATAGATAGCAGTCTATCTGTACTTTAGTATTTTGGAATTACACATCTATAATTATCAATAGAGATACAAAGCAAATCCATGTTTACAGCTGTAGATGTTGTGGTCTGTTGCCCTTCAGGTATTATGGTCGAAAGATGCTCTTCAGTATGATGACTCATCCTGATTTCGATAAAACAATTGAGATGTATGTGTTGAGCAAGGATTTGCCTTATATTAGGAAAGCTGTTACCAACCTACGTAAAAAGGTATGTGGAAAAGCTCTTGTTTAACAGCTGAGAAATGTAAATGTGTACTAGTGGTAGTTAGGGGTAGACAATGAACCTACAGTAAAGGAAGGCAGAGCATTCAGAGCAAGCCAGGTAATCAAGTGACTGCAGCATGGCAAGGTGCTGCTTGTTAGCTGCCCTCTTCATGCTTTTACTGCTTGCAGATACACTGGACGAGATGCACTTTGCTGCTTTTTATAGCTTTTTTTTTTCTCTAGCAGGGCAGAACTGTACCAGCTATGTTAATTAACAGTCGTTCCTCTGTGCAGGGTTTGGATGGGCTGCCATTGGATGCACCTTCAGCAAAAATAGGACATTCCAATACTAGTAGCATTGGACATTTGAGAGGTACTACCAACATCACTGACAGGTAATTATCTTCACTGTTTTACCTTGCTAGCAATTTACACTCTAGGATAGTAGCCTCACTGCAAGCAGAGAGCACAGAAGCATTCACAACAGGGTTGTGAAAAGTAAACGTGCCTTCAGGAAATGGAAAAACTTGACATGTCCCAGATAAGCTCTTTTAAATGGGGTAATTGGTAATATTAAAATAGCTTTTTGCACTTTGAAGTTAATTTGCCTATTGACTGCCTATGAAATATATACACAGTGGACAAACCACTTGGATTTCATAGTAGGTCCATGTTATCATCAGTTAAAGATATTGCTGTTCAGAGTCTATAGAAAAAAACATGTTCAGTGGTAGCCACAATGCAGATTATCCATGCACTTTCCTGGACAGCAGGTATTTAGATCCTAACTGGGGATGCTGAAGGTTTTAGATGGTACTGGGTCGCTTTTCAGTTGTCTAAATGCAGAGAACAAAACGTTAAAATTGTTAAACAGAAAATGAAACAGTCTGGAAATAAACACAATATTCAAAAGCATAAGTAAGAACCTTACTTATCATATATTCAGAAAACACAGTGACAGATTTAAAGGCATAAACCCATAAAAATATATTCTTTAACAAGCCCTAACTCCTAGAATCTGGTAGAGGATAATATATTCTTTTACTGAAAACACTGAGATTTTTGAGGTTTAAACTCCTATTTCAGCGTGCTTATGTGTTCACTAAGTAACTTCTTCCTTTCCAACAGAAAGACTACAGAAGCCTATGAAGTCATAAGAAAAACAGCTCCTCGTAATTTACTACAAAATGACGAATATGTTAAAGACATTATAGGTTTATTGAATGCAAAGGACTTCCGTGATCGGATACGTGGCATTAAGCAGCTGTCATTTGATGCAGAGAATAATCAAGGCTTTGTTGTTGCAAACATCGTGAAGGTAACTATGAAAATATTTTATTTCAAGGGTCTTTAAAGCTGTTTTCTGATAAAAATCTTTGCTCACTCATTCAATAAGAACATCTGATTAACAGGAAAATAGTGAGGAGTAGGTGAGGTATGCTCCAGGGTGAGCTGTGCAAGCTACAATAGTAAAGGAAGTAAATAGGATGAAGAAGGTGGAAATTTTCACTTAGAGAAAGCACTCTTTATTCCTGGAATACTGCAGGCAAGTTTTCATGCCAGGCTGAGTAAATATCAAAATATTGGAACAGCTTACAGAAAGAACAGCAAGGATTAATCAAGATCTGAAAAACTCTCTGAAACACAGCTGCAAATTCTGCCTGCTTGCTTTGCCTAGGAGAATGTGAGGAAAGGTCTTTGTTATGATAAAGCTTACAGTAAGTATCCTTTGTAATAGGAAAGGAGGTTCTGTAGGGGAAAAATACTATGATGAGGTCCAAGAGTTGTAAACTAGAGATAGATACAATGAAAGGAAAACCAAGATTGTCTTCTAACAGTATAGCATCTTTGCTGTGAAACTATGAAATACTTTTGTGGAACTTCACAGTATCTTAAATATGAATGGTTTTGAAATCTTTAAAACATACTTTCTACTAAATACAGCTGTGTCTTAATAAAAATACTTGCTTTCAGAAAATAGTAGTCATACTGAAAGTTACAGATGGATAGTTTGCCTTCTTTACATTGTACAGGAATGATGTAAATTCAGATGAGGTGAGGCACAGTTGAATAATACAGAGTATAAAGATACCAAATGTTGCTTTACTTGCTCAAAAAAGTATCTCAGGTATTTGCATATCAGAGCCATCTTTTGCTAAGATGGACAATCAAAGTATAACAGTAAAGCAGGAAATGTAGTATCTACCTCAAATATGAATTATTAATTCTGATGAATGCTGTTTGGATGCTTTTTCAGATTTTTGATGCTTTCGAGTGTTGCTTAAATGACATAAATGGCAAAGTAAATCAGATTGCTTTGGAGACGATGCACCAGATAATTCCATTGCTGAAAGACAATTTATCACCTGTGATCAACATGTTAATTCCCCCCATTGTCGACAACAACCTGAACTCCAGAAACCCAGGGATTTATGCAGCTGCCAAAAATGTTATTCAGGCTCTGTGTCAACACCTAGGTCAGTAATTTACTCCCTCTTAATTCTAAAGAGTTTTAATTGTATTAAATTCTAAATTTAAAGAATCATTCTTTCCAAGTTTCCACCCAATCATTACATTGTGTAATGAATCACTGGCTTTATTCTCACAATTTCTACACCATACAGGTCATCTCAGTATTTTGCTGATCCAGAAATACAGCAATACAGCTTGCTGTTTTTTTTTCTTTTTCCATAGTAGATGGTTTTGGCTGTAAGGGTGACAGAGCACTGGCACAGGTTGGCCAGGGTGGCTGTGGAGTCTCCATCCTTGGAGATATTCAAAAGCTGCCTGGACACAGTCCTGGGCAACCAGCTGCAGAGGGTTCCACTTGAGCAGGTGGTTGGACCAGATGATCTCCAGAGGTCCTTCACCCACTTCAACCATTTCTTGTGATTCTGTGTTTCATTATCCATTGTCACACTGTTTAATCTCCAACAGGTCAAAGAACTAGATTCTTGCTGATTTGTGTATGCCATGACCATTTTCCTTCCTCAATTGTTTCAGCTTTGGAGCAGAATCTCAGTGTTTTCAGGAAAAGAATATGCTGTGCTCTACCAGATTCTAGGAGTTAGGCCTTGTTAAAAGAGTATGGTTTTATGCTTTTATGCCTTTAAATCTATCACTGTGATTTTTGAAGTTGATACAAGTAAGGTTCTTATTTACGTTTCTGAATATTCTGTTTATTTCCAGACTAATTTTCTGTTTACCAATTGTAACATGTTTTGTTCTCTGCATTTAGACAACTACTTGCTCCTTCAGCCGTTCTGCACAAAAGCCCAGTTTCTGAATGGAAAAGCCAAACAAGACATAACAGAAAAGCTTGCTGGTAAAGTGATGTTTTACTTTGGATATTTGTTTGTGTACTATCCTTATTAGGCAAATTCATTGTGGGATGGTGATGGTTATACATTTTCCCTTCTGTCACAATAGATTGCGGGCATTAACAATGTAGTGGTTGTCAAATTTCACCCCCTTCCAATGCAAACTGGAGTTATTGCTGATCAAACGATAGCTTATTATTACGGAGTCAGATGGAAGATGTGTAAATACCTGGAAGATATTTATAAATACCTTAAGCTTATAATTTAGTATGGAATCAGAGAGAATGAGGTTTGTTTTGTAATGAGTTTCGCTGTGTCAGTATCAAGACTTGGGTACCCACACGCTGCACTCTGCCTGGTCAGCAAGCACCTCTTCCTGTGTAGGGCGGGAGGCATGGAGCTGACTGAGGAGCAGTACTCGCATCCACATAAACTTACTAGGAATCATAGAATCACACTGGGTTGGAAGGGATCTTAAAGATCACCTAGTTCCCACATAACCCATGGGCAGGGACACCTTCCACTAGACCAGGTTGCTCAAAGCCCTGTCCAGCCTGGCCTTGAAGAATGAGCATCTGCTTTTTCTGGGGTTTCCCAGCACAGAAAATACACTGTTCTCTAAGGCTGGCTCCTACTAACTCCTGAATTTCACTTCTGTACCTTTTTTGCTTTTCGCAGTTGCTCTTTTTCTCATTTTAAGGCTTTTAGTAATACATACTGGCTTTGAGCCATAAAGGACACAAGCTGAGCATGACCACAGAATGGTCATGTTCCCAAAGCTTAAGAACAAATTTACTCAAAAATTAAAGGCAAATTTGGATTAAAATTTATATACACATTTTAATATTGGGGATTATTACTAGCAGAAGTGCTGAATTTCCTTTTGCTGTTTTAAGTGAACAAGAGATATCTTTATGGGAAATAGGCTTGACTCAAACAGTATGTTTGGCTTAGTTTCAGAGTAGTTCCGTATGTAGTAGCTGTGAAATTGAACTAAACATAACAGACAGTCTGTTCTTGAAATATTCCTAAATTTCTGCTTTCTATATGTGAAATCAGCTTTTAAACAGTCCATCTCTTGCTAGTATTTTTGGGGAGTAGTTTGTATTGTATATCAGAGGAGTCCATTCTAGCAAAAAGACAAACATTTGCAAATGAAACACTTAATTCCTGATGCAATTGTCTGAGTAGGGAAAAGCTTCATCTTGCAGATATTTATATTATAAGGCTACTTTGTTCCTTAAACTCAAAAACCTACTAAGTATTTCACAGACAGAGGGGAAATCATAAAATATGAGATGCTACACAGCGCTCTGAGAGAAATACAGGTCCCTATGATAATTCTAACTTAAAAAAACCCAAACAAACAAACAAAAAAAAACCTGTAAAACAAAAAAAGAACCAAACCTGAAAAAAAGTTCTTGTTTCAATTTTAAGAATGGAAAACTGTAATTATCAGCAGTACAAGTATGACTGTGTGAACTCCTGAGAGAGGCTAAAAGGGGTGTTTGTAGGCAAAGCTGGTATTTTTTATCAGAGTTCTGATGGTGTTGCAACAGAGAAGCTCTTGTGTATACTCAGCATTCCTTCATTAGTGCTTGAGAAGATGATTTGACATAAAGTGATTTTAAACACTTCTCAGAGCAGGGCATCACTTCTGAGTTGTGCTTTAAAGAGAAGTCTTCAAACACCGATTGATGACCTGCTGTCTTTCTTGCAGATATTGTGATGGAGTTATATCCACGGAAGCCTAAGAGTGTGGAGCAGAAAGTTCTAGTTGTCCTTTGGCACCTCCTGGGAAACATGACGAACAGTGGCTCTTTGCCTGGAACCAGAGGGAACATTCGGACAGCCACAGCAAAACTGTCAAAAGCACTTTTTGCACATATGGGACCAAGTCTCTTAACTCAGGCTGCAGCTCAGTCACCATACATCAAGAAGACTTTAGAAGAACTTTTGAAGACAGAAAGCTAAAGTAACGATCCCATTCATGCATGAAGCTAGGACAGATGGGCTGCTGTTTATATGGAAACATACCACACCATCCCCTGTTCTTTTGTTGTGCTGGTGTCTCTAGTGGAGAAGGGTCGTCGCTGGGAGAGCATGGAAGGTGCCGGGATGGAGAAGTCACCCTTCATCTATGTATTTCTCTAGAGACCACAGCACAGCACCCTAGGTCTAGTAATAGATTGTTAATGAATAAATACATCTGACATGTTTTGACTTGGTTTTAGCACTGAGCGTTACATCGCTAAATGGAAGACAATCCTGGAGACAGTTAAATAGCACAACAGGGTTTGATGTGGCAGTTGTGAAGAACATGTATTTTTTTACAACCCCCGCCTGCAGCTGTGGGTATTAGCGTGCTGTGGCTGCCGGTACGGTACTGTAACGTGGCCTGCTGGCTGTGCATGCTCATCGGTACGGAAAGCACGGCCCCGCTGTGAGGAAAACGAGCCGTTTCCTCGGAAGCAGTGGTAGAGCGGAGTCCGTGGTACCCACCCGTCCCCCACCGCCGTTACTGTCGCGTTTTACTCGGGAACCTGATGCAAATAAAAGAATTTATTTCTGTAGCGCTCCGGGCGCCGCCTCCGTGCCCGACGGGGGGAGGTGGGAACGAGAGCGCCCGGATCACCGCCATTTGGCGGGAGGAAAGGAGGGAGGGGCAGGGTGGGCGCATGCGCGGCGCACGCGCACTGGCCTCTTCCTGAGGCCTAGCGGCGGCAAGCGTGCGGCGGCCTAGGTGGTTACTGGTCTTGTGGCAGGTACCGGGACCGGGGGACCGGGAATGGGGCAGCTGCGGGGAGCGCCAGACTTGCAAGGGGGAAGGGAAGGGGTTAGGCTGGGTCCCCGCCTTCGTCTCCGGTGGGTTGGTCTCCGCCCACCCCGACGGGAGGCTGAGTCGGGCGTCGGGGGCCTGTGCTGGGCCGAAGCCGCTATGTGGTGGGGCCGCGCTCGGGCGTGCGGCACCCGCTGCCGCCTCAGCCGTTCACTTCGCCAGCGACTGACGAGCCCTGGAGTAAACCAGCCCGCAGCTGGCGCTTAACGGAACGAACGTTGTGATTAGGGAAACCTGTGTGATCCTTATGTGCTGTAACAACTGCGAGATCTCTGGACAAACATTAGACCAGCCCAAAGCCTTTAAGTGCTTCACGGTTTGTTACGTTGTCATTATATTTCTTTATTTTTTACTTTTTTTTTTTTTTTTTCCTGTATTTTCCCTGTGAGGGTGCTGAGACGCTGGCACAGGTTGCCCAGAGAATCTGTGGCTGCCCCATCCTTGACAGTGTTCAAGGCCAGGTTGGACTGGGCTTGGAGCAAGCAGGTCTAGTGGAAGGTGTCACTGCCCGTGGCAGAGGGTTGGAACTGAATGAGTTTTAAGGTCCCTTCCAACCCAAACCGTTCTGTGATGCTGTGACTATGATTTTGGCCACCGAAACGTTAGTGGTTGGACAGAATGGTCCGGGGCAGCAGTGCCAGCGCAGCCCAGCGCCGCAGGTTCCAGGCGGCTCCCTTATCAGGGCTGTGACACTGGTCTGGGCGGAGGCGTAGGCTGAGGCCGGAAACTCCTTGTGATTGCCAGTTTGTGGGCTTTCCGGGATGGTTTTGTATTAATTCATGTTCATAAATGCCAGTATTGCAAAAAATAAACGTTTGGTTGAAACAGGCTAAATAATATATGTTGGCATAAAAGATTTAAAATTAGGTATGTGGTTATCTGATATGCTTATTTAGTTATTTAGCATGAGTGATGTAAAAACTCCTGGAATTGAGTTACTGTGTTCCATGGTTGTCTGTGTTTGACGTGTGTTGGCTTTGTGCCTGCTGCCTTCGCAGCTGCCTGGAGCAAGGACATTCGTCTGGTTCCAGGAACCAGTTGTTCACGGCAGCTATAACCGTTAGTGAGTTTGGGGGATGTCTTGGTTTCTGGGGATGGGTTTAGAGCACCTTGAGTAGGAAGCAAACTGCGAAGCAGACATTAACATTTTGTTTGAAGCCTCATATCCAGAGGTAGTCTAGTACCATCCTTTGTCTTTTTTTTTTTTTCTGCTTTCCCCCTAATGTGAAGACAGGATGGATTTGGGGGGGTAGGTTTTTAAGCTGGAATACGTCTGAATCGGCTAGAGGGAGAAAACGTCTGTCAAATACCAGAATAATTTTAGGTTGTGCATTATCGCATATTTAAAAACAATTGTTTTTTTCTCAAAAATTTAGAGCTGTAAATATCCTTTAAAGTATATTTTTTCAGGAGTTGGGGCTGCTGTTTGTATAGCACATGCTTCTGACACCCTGATTTTATCATCTTTACAGATGAGCTCTGAATAGTAGCGGCTGTTTTCAGTGATGCAGATGCAGCGATCTGCAGTTACCACATAAAGTTGCAAACTTATGAACTGTTTGTGTTAAAGGAAAGAAATTATGTGTTTAGGATTACCAGGTGATATATATGATGGAGAACAGAAATAGTTACTTCTAAAAAAAACAATTTTTAGAAAACTTCCAGAGTGGACCATGTGGCCTTTTTAACACTACACCGAGGTAACTCGGCTTGGTGAACTAGGGAAGCATGAACTCTTTATCTCATGCACTGAAGCTGCTAAAGATAGAGAAGTTTTTCCTTCCTGTCAAGAATTTTGCTCCTGTTACATTACTGATGACCTATCATTGTACTTGCTGAAGTGAAAGCAAACGTTTTGTTCTCTTTTCAAGCTTTCAGTGAGAAAGATTTGTGGCAATGCAGAGTGGGGTGGGGACTTTTTTAAATGTCAAACTTACCTGCTTCTGCTCTGAGAACTGAAGGGAAATAGGAGTGGCAGTTGCTACAGTGCGTTTGAGGCTGATAGTCTCATGCTGTTCTTCATCCAAAATAGATTCACAGCTCAAAGCTACTGTATTCTATGCAGGTGCTGCATTACCTTTAACCCATAGGTCATTATGGTCTGGCTTGAATGTGGAGAAGGTCCAGTGGAGTGCCTTGTGGCCAGGCTTTGGGCAGTGAGGCTGGACTGGTGTTTGCGGAGGAGGGGAGGGCTGGGCAGCAGCGTTTGGCAGGAAGATCAAAATAAAGAGTGGGAGGAAGATGGAGTCTGTCCTGAGGGGCAGGAGGAAGCACCTGATGAGTAAGTGTTGCATGGGGGTGAGTGACTAGTGTCAGGGGCTAGCCTGAACACTGTGTGTGGCCCTCTGCTGGTTAGCTTATTTAGGCGTCTTACATATGGACTGAGTGAGGACAAGAATTCTTTTCTTTGCAGAGTTACCATGTAATCTGGTTCGGCTTGGCTTTGAGGGAACAGTTAAACATACATGTCTTTTGCAAAGAAATTATTAATTTGTATTAAGTAGGATAATTGAATAAATTTGAATGTAATTCTCTATATGGAATAAACTGTTCAACTTGCATAGGAAAGCTGGGTTGGTTCACTTTTATACCTCCATAGCAACTTGTGACAGGTTTTTAGAAAACCCACAATGATTTGTATGTGCAGATGTTAAAATGTAGGATTGCTATTAATTGTAAATTATCTTATTTGTGAATAAGGCTCATGTGAGAAGCAGATCCAGTTGCTGGGGGTTTGTGGTGAAATACATGAGTGCCTGAAGCACTTGGGAGACTGTTAGGTGGTAATTCAAGCCCAAGTTCTACTTGAATCTTTGCTGCAGGAATACTGAATCTTTTTGTTTCTACAGGATCTAGTACTACTAAACAGCAGTAATGTCAGCTATGGAGAACAACACAGAAAATACAGAGGAGGAGAAACCAACTGTAAGCAATGAGAACACAGACAATAGCACCGAAACAGCAACAGAAGAACAGCAGATGGACTTCAGTACAGAAATTATAGGTGTCACTGAGATGGAACAATCACCTGATAGTTCCCCTGGCCTGAATGCAGACAACATGCAGGAGAGTGAAATTCCTGATATCGAAAGTTTACAGACAACAGATATTGAGGCTGGCTTTCCTCCAGATTTTGACAAGTTCTGGAAAGTAGTAGAGGACAATCCCCAGGATTTCACAGGATGGGTATATCTACTACAGTACGTAGAGCAGGAGGTTAGTATAGCACCCTATTCTCCTTAGCCTTCAAGAAATAAACAAAGAAAACCCAAACAAGTCACAGATATTCCAGTGACCAGTCTAGAACTGTACATCAGGCTTTCATGGGTACTGTTTGAAGAAGTTGCCCTTGTCAGTGTTGTCAGAAGAGATCACACAATAAAAACTGTTGCTTTTAAGAAAATGTTAAAGTAGTAATTGTTTTCAGAATAACATAAAGGGTTTTTAAAGGAAAGGATTCATTGCTTTTATTGTGTATTTCTTGCAGAACCACTTACCAGCTGCCAGGAAAGCATTTGACAGGTTTTTCACACATTATCCATATTGCTATGGATATTGGAAAAAGTATGCAGACCTTGAGAAGCGACATGACAACGTTAAGCAGTCTGACGAGGTATGTAGGTAGCTGGGTGCAGCTATTGCCATTGGTCCTGTTAGCCAAACAATGACTAACCTACTGCAAGTCATTTGGCTGCCAGTACCTGCCATCTGTGGCCAGGTTTGTAGGGATTTTGTTTGCACTTGTCACATCTGTGGCATTTGTAGCTAATGTTTTCTCTCTTTGTTGGCAGGTGCGTTAAACCTCTACAGTTTGTCAAGCTTTGCAGTGCAAGCCTCTGTATTACACTGCAGCTTAACAAGTAGGGCAGGGCTTTTCTGTCACTTACATTTATTATTCATTTTCGAAACAATATAGTTGGTTTGCTGGTCACAATTGCTGCATCTTATTGCATTTTTGGTCAGACGCTGTCAATGATGCTCTAATGGGTCTGTGCCCTATGGTCTGTACCCCAAAGCCTGCCCACACAACCTGGTCAGAATGCAGGGACCGCTGCGCTTTGAAGATCAAGACTCTGCACGTGGAGATCAGAACATTGCCATGTTCTATCCAACCTCCACCCAAATGGTAATGGTAGATTATTTAAACAAAATTCCAG